TTCCCCCACAAAAGGTTTAAAAAAATACAAATGAAAATGGGAATTCTTGTGCTCAATTATATGGTGTCTTAAACTCAAGGGGAAGTGAAAGATTATGAAACAGAAGCGGAGGAAAGTGGGCAGTGTATGAGGTGTTCAAGGCCCTTCTAAGGGTGGCAGCCATTGCTTGCTGAAAGCAGTCCTAGGGAACAGCGAGAATGGTAAAACCCACACTGACAGACTTTATAAGATGCAACTTTAAGGTCCTTAAAGTGCTACATATGCATTTGCTGTGGGGAGAATGGGACTCAGGGCTGATCATTTGGGGAGGTACATTAAAAAAAAAAAGCTGAAATAATCCATTTATTTAACCCAGCAATGGTTATAATGTGAGGGCCTGCAATCCGCTCACACAACAACTGTTTGGCAAGCCCCCCCCCCCCGTGTTCCAACAGATATTAAACTGTGCTTGCCATTTGTCTACGGAATCTTGCATTAATAAACATGAAGAAGAACACTTTACCTCCCACTCTCAGTGATGGGACCAAACAAAGACCAGCTGTACTCATCAATGGGGCCTTGTTCTGTGCATAAAGGCTAATTACATTTTGCTTCAAGCCTACACATGGAAAACTTTACTGCCACTGTCCCTATCACAGCCAGCCAAGCAGTCCCAGCTGACGTACAGCTGAAATGACTGCAAAAGCTGCAGTTAGGGTTGGGGGTGGAAGGCTCCAAGTGGCCTTGTTGCCTTTGACCTACATCCCCTCAAGGGTCTTGAATAGCCCAAATTGGCCTCTAACAGTATAGCTGAAGCTGACCTTTAACTCGTCATCTTCCTGGCTTCCACCTCTCAAGTGCTGCGATTAGAGGCATGTGCCACCACACCTGGTTCTTGTAGTATTGAAGAGTGACCCCAAGGCCTTGTGGATGCTAAGCAAGCACCCTATCTACTGAGTTACAGCCCCAGTCCCTGTGGTTTCTTTCTGAATGGGGGAGAGGGAAGGTCAGTGGTCTGAATGACTGACACATTTCAGACTAACCTTCTCCAAGAGGCATACATGGGATTCTGCTGTGAGCACCCCAGGCCTTGCCATGTTGCCTCTGCACACACTTCATCACTCTCCATAGCTACTCAGTGATGCAGCTGCTCTTATGCCCCTTGTCCAAAAGACAAGAGGCTCTGGAGGTCACAGTGTGTACAGGAAACAGAGCAATCGCTCCCAGAGCAGTCTTTCCTCAATGCCTTTTCTCTGTCTCCTACCTCCCTTCCTAGGTTCTTTGTCAGGATTCTGTTTTTTCCCCTTAAAAAAAAAAAAGATGTTTAAAACCATCCCTGGTGTGTGTACATGTGCACATGAATGTGGATGCAGAGAGGTCAACCTTGTGTGTTGTTCCTTAGGAGCCATCCATCTTTTTTTTTTTTTTTTGAGACAGGACCTCTGACTGGGTCCTGAGGTCAGTTAATATAAGCTGCTGTTCAGGGAGCCCCAGGGATCTGCCTGTCTTTATGTCCCCAGTGCTAGAATTTCAAGGGAACTTTACCAAGCCCAGCTCTTATCTGGGTTCTGGAGATCAAATTTAGGTCTTCATGCATTCATGACAAGCACTTCCTAGCCTGAGTCACCTGCCTAGCCCCAATCAGTCCTTTCTTTTTCTAATCAGAGAAATAAATTTTCAGCCCAGTCTAGTTGGACTACCTTTCTACATCCATCAATCCACTATACTGTGGGCACAATTTTCAGAACTGTGGCAGGTCTTCCAAGAGACCAATGTGGCCTTGCTCTTTCACAGACTTCTTATATTTAGAAATTACTCATTGAGTCCCACATCCTTGCCAGGTCAGCAGCACATTTACAGCCCCCAGCTATTGCAGAAGCTGATGAAGGAATTATCTCTTGAACCTAGGAGTTTCAGATCAGCCTAAGTAGTGCAGTGAAACCCCCTCTCAAAAAAGAACAAAGGAGGACTAGGAATGTGTCTCAGTGGGCAAAGCACTTGCCATGCAAGGATGACGACTGTGGTTCAGAGCCCTAGGACTCATCTGAATCCTGGATTGGCTAGGTAGGCTGCCTGAATCCAGCACCAGGGAGGCAAAAACATGATATCCTTAAAGCAGGTTGTTGCGTCAGTGAGCTCTGGGTTCAAGTGAGACCCTGACTCAAAATATCTAAGGTGGAGAACTGTTGAGGAAAACACCTGACATCAACCTCTGACTTCCACATCCAGCTGCACATATGTACATATGTACCCACATACATGCACACTCATAACATATGCACATCAAAAGCTCTCAAAAGACTGCTAAATCCATAATCACAAACACTCAAGGTTGTCCTCTGACCTCTAAAGGTATGCTGTTGCATACACACATAGAAACATAGATAAGAAAACAAGTACATACAAGAAAGTAGTACAGTTTAGCAATAATAAATAGCGATATAAACAACTATATTTCCAAACTCACTAGGACTTAGGCCAATCAAGACAGTGATGTGGAGTGGAAGGAGGAGGCACACACTGATTAACATACTGTCTGCACATCAGGGTAGCCAGGGCTATGCAGAGAGCCAGAGTAAAAAAAAAAAAAAACAATAACAAAAGAAAAAGAAAAATATTCAGTTACTGAGAAAAATGATCAGTTTAGTAGGATAAAATCCAAGCAGAAATGATCACATTACATAAAGATAAAACACTGACAGAAAAGGGGACAGGGTCCAGGAGTTTTAGCACGGCAGTTGATGTGGTTTCTGCTGTGGGAATGTGTTGCAGGTGAGAAAGTCTATGAGATTTCAAAGGGTGGGAGTAGCGTGTGTGTCCTCCAGTTGGATGATGGCAGCTGCTCTTAGATGGTCCTGTCTTTGGGATGGAAGGAGGTAAGCCCGAAGTCATAGAATTTTACAAGGAAATTTAACCATTACTCCCTTAGACTGAGCTCATTTGTACTTTTCAAGCCTAACTGTAGAGCATGGAGGGAGGAGAGTGATGGCCTAAAGGTTTTTATGAGGTTTAGCTATGCTATCAAGTCAGCCAGCTAGGGAGACTGATGAGGACATCTGGGTCTCTGTGAATAAGTTCTAAGTTATCTAGTGAAGTTTGACTGCAGGTCTGGGAACTAACTGGGCCTTAAGGTCTGAACTACTAAACACAGGAGAGTAGAGGGTCAAGAAATGGCCCCGAGGCTAGGGATATGATGGCTTGCTATGTAAGAATGAGGGCCTAAGTTCAGAACCCTAGCACCCATGTACAAACCTAAGTGTGGTGGCACATGTTGGTACTCCCACTCCTGAGGACTACCTATCCCTAGAGCTCACTGGCTAACAGTCTAGTCCATGTGTGAACTCCAAGTTTATTGAGATATCCTGCTTAAAACAAAAAACGAGGAGAGCTGAGATGACTCAGTGGTTAACAGTACTGGTTGCTCTTCCAGAAGACCTGAGTTGGACACACAACACCCATATGGTGGCTCATAACTACCTGATAGTTCCAATTCCAGGGACTCTGTTGTTATAACCTCTGAGAGCATCAGGCATATACATGGTACAGACATAAATGTAGGCAAAACATTCATATACATAAAATAAAATAAATAAAATAAATAAGTAGCGAGTGATTGAGGAAAATACCCAATGTCTGGCTTCCACAGGCACACAATTCAAGTACACAAACACATATATCACATGAAAAGGACAAGGATTGCTGGGGTGTAAGTCCTGTCTCTCACTACAATAGAGTGGGAGCAACTCAGATGTGACTCTATTGATACCCATTGGAGAAACATATGAACAAACCAAGGACCTGTGTTCCCAGTGGCCGGAGGCAGCACGCTGCTGAATACATGTACATTTCTGTGGAAGATCAGAAGAGCCTTCTCCAATGGGAAAAAGCCATGAAAACTTCAGCCTTACACAGCTTGTCTGAACATTAGCCATAGCTAGCAGACTTGTGGCTGACTCACAACTTAGGACAATATCAGTTCCTCCTCTCTGCTCATCTACAAGGAGGGGTTTGGTAGTAAATGTTCCTGTCACAGGTTACTGTAGTGTCTGATGTCATCTTGACAATGGTCAAGTAAGCAGGAAGCATCACTGTCCCAGTCTCATCCCTGAGTGTCCTCACACAGGGAGCCCTGTACAAAGCTGTAAGGCTCAGTGACAAGCTACCTTTATGGGCTGTGCTTATTCTTCCTAAGGTACTCTGTCGCAGAATAAGAAGGTGACACAATTTCTCCAGACTGTATTTCCACAGAAGTGTCCCACCAATCACATTGCTTGAAAGTTCACCCTTTCCCAGTGTAGAAAAAAGTAAAGCATATGGGCTGGACATGGCTAAGCAGGTAAAAAATGCTTGCTGTGTAAGTATGCTAATGAGAGTTTGACCTCTAGCATACAAACGAAAACACCCAGGTTCAATTCCTAGCCCCCACATGGTGGCTCACAATCACCTATAACTGCAGCTTCAGAGGATCTGATGTCCTCTTTTGGTTCACACACAATACACAAGACATACAGACCAAGACCAGAAAGGCAAAACACCCAAACCCATAAAATAAAATAAATTAAAAAATAAAGTCAGATGTGGTACACATCTGTAATCCTAGCACTCCTACAGTGAGACAAGAGGTTGAGACAGGAGGCTCATCTAGAGACTTACAGATAGGCTAGCCCAGAGCATAAAACAGGCAGAAACAAGAGACCCTGACCTAAAGGGGTCCTCAGACTTCTACATGTGCACTGTGGTATGCACACTCATTTACACAGACACACATGCACACACGAGCGTGCAAAGTCTAGACTTCTTTGTGACCAGGAACAGAAATTTCAGTGGGATGGATATGATACAAGGGACTTATTAGACTGACATTATATCTTGACAGCATGACAGGAGGTTGAATATCTTCTAAGCCCATCTTCTGTGGATTAGCAATAGCACAGTCATCTTGACCAAATGCAAAAAAAAAAAAAAAAAAACAAAAAAACAAAACAAAACAAAACAGAGGATGATATCACATAGACACTTACTTTGCAGTAGTTTCTTCATCATATTTGGTTTTCAGGTCAAATAATTCTGTTCGAGTTTTTTCCAGGGCTAAAAGGCAAGGACAGAAACCATGATGTAAGATACCAATTGTGTCTGTTTTCAGACAGGGTCTATGTAGCCCAGGCTATCCTTGAGCTCATTATACAGCCAAAGATAACATTGACCGTCTGACCCACCTGCCTCTACCTACTCAGCATGGAGATTACAGATATGAGCCTGTTTTCCTTCATGATGGGGATCAAATCCAAGGATTTTTGAGTACTGGATAAGCACTCTACTGATGTAGCTATATCCCCACCTCTTTAGGCTGCTTTCAAAGATGGGGTTTCAAATTCTGGATCTCCCTGGGTATAATTCTCCAGTGATGAGATTACAGGAGTGTGCCATTAAGCCAGTTAGAATACCAGCTGCTTAAAGTAAAAAGGGAAAAGTACACGAAGATGAGAGACATACAATGGATGGAGAAGAAAACTTCCCCTCACCCCACCTTATCTCTCCGAAGTACCTCCTTCAACAGAGAACCACCATCCAGTTTGCTGCAGACTTTCAGCTTTTAAATGGCTTTTATCATCAAAAATCATTTCTATATCAACTGCAAATACAGTTGCATATTATATTAATCACAGACCAAGTATACGATGAAGGTCACATATAATTATATTGGAGGTAGAAAGTTCCTATCATCTAGGCGCTTTATCGTCTTAGTGTAACACATGACTTGTGAGCCTACAGTGACTCTGGCATGCTACCAGCTGGGTAAAAACATGCATATGGTAACTGACCATGACTATAAACAGCTCTGCTACTAGCTTATAAGACTTCAAAAGGTTTAGTGTATGTGTGCTCATATCTCTGTGTGCGCATGTGTATGTGTTATAAACTTCAGTCTTCTTCTGACGCCACCCACCTTGCAGTTTTTGGAGCAGGGTCTCCCACTGACCTGGAACTCACCAAGTGGGAAAGATTGGCAGATTAGTGAGCTCAGGGACCAACCTGTCTTCACCTTGCTAGGTTTGGGATTATAAGCATGGTCTACCATAGATGGCTTTTTACATGGGCTCTAGAGGTTGAATTCAGATCCTTATGTTTGTGTGCTATGGATCTGAGCAAACTCCTCAGCTCCTATTATACTTTCAATTGTTATTTAATACATACCTCTATTTACTTTATTATGGGCTGGAGAAATGGTTCAGAGGTTAAGCTCTTGCAGAGGACTCACGCTTGGCTCCCAGCACCCATGCTGTATAACTGTCTATAACCCCAAAGGGATCAATGCTTCTGCAGCCATCTGCAACTCATATGTATGTACACATGCACAAACCCACACAGACCCAAAGTTTATTTTAAAAGAGTGTGCTCTGTGGTAGGGGCAGAAACCTCATCTATGGACTGTCAACTTCATTTACTGGCCGAACTGAAGAGCAAGGCATAGTGGTGCATGCCTGTTATCTCAGCACTGAGGAGGCAGAAGCAGGAGGGTCATGAGGCCCAGGCTAGCCTGGGTTACATGAAGATCTTAATAGCTCCATAAATGGGATGGTTACGAGTATTTTCTGAGGCCCATCTTTTTCCTTAGTGGTCTAGGATGGAAGTCTCTCCATGTCAGGTCACAGGCAGACCAATCAGTTTTCCTTTTAACACACTCAGAAGTAAGGTGGTTGGTAAAGAACTGAGCATGCTTGCCCTTACATAACACCCAGCCAGCCTCAAGAGGCAACTCTCCCATTCACATCCACACAGCGCCTGTGACCATGCTCCTACATCCTCAGCAACAACGGTATTATCTGCTTCAAAAGACGCTGACAGCATGATAGGCAAAACTATCTTTCACTGATTTATCTGCAAATCCCTGACTGTTAAAAACTGTCAGCTCTTTCCCTTATGATCCACACTGCTTCTCAAAGCTTCCTGCTACTTCACTTACTGTTCTGCTGGACTGTTTCTTCATTTTCCAGAATTTTTAAGTGATATATCATGTGTGTAGACATATGTATATACATACATGCATATATAAGGTGAAGAATGAACCAAAGCTTTTGTGCATACTAGGCAGGTGCTCTACAATTAACTCACACTTGGAGCCCCTCAATGGAAGATTCTAGGCAGGTGCTCTACCACTGAGCAGGCTCCCAGTCCCTTACTGATGGTATTATAAGCAAAAGCTCCTTTGCAGAGCTACATCAGTAGCTTGGTGTTTGCAGTTTTTGGACATTTATTCATTTGACTGTTAAACTGGTTGTGACTATTTTTTGTCCCTGTAACATTTGTGTTCTAAGTTGGATCATGATGTCTTCTCATTTTTCTCCCCACATTTAAAGATACCATGCTGCTTCCTTCTCAGAAAAGGAAACAAAAAAAGAAAGGCAAACTTTGGTATGACCTTTTTTGGTATCTTTTAGAATTTAAAGGTTCTGCTATAACAGTTCTTAACTTCATTTCGGGTAGAACTAAGTCCCCTCACCCTCATTATTGTTCCAAATGAGATGACAGTTCTTGACAGTTTGGTGATTTAGAAGTGTTTGTTGGAAAGAAGAACAGGAAGGATGGCTGGCACAGGGAGGGAAAAGGCAGGAGAGCCACCCACGTCCACATTAGCAACTCAATGCAGTGACTAATGCAGTCAGGTAGAGCAACCTGGGATTCAGGCTTCAGTTATGTGGGCTCAAGATTCCTAGCTGCAGGATCCCCAGGAGCAACAAGTAGTAGAGGGGCTAGAAACAGGCTAGGAGACTGGCCATGCTTGCCCAGCCTACTTCCATCTTCCACATGTGTCTTCAAATAGGATGGAGAGCATCGAACCTGTTTGCAAAGTCTGGAGTTTGTGCTCGGCTTCCTCCAGCTTTGAGGTGGTGGACATCTGGGTCTCTTGCAGTTTTCTGGGAAAAGAGAGAGAGAGAGAAAATGAACCCAAATTGGTCATCTTGTTTTGACTACTGAGATAGGCTGTGTGCCCTGAGCCCCACTGCTCAGCACTCTTCTCAGGGAGGCCCTGCCTCGCCTCCTAGGACAGCTTGAGTCTCTGCATCTCACCTTTGTGAATGTACATTATACAACGTGGAGTGTGTGCACCTTGCAGGACCTGACATGTGTGGCAGGTTCTCCTATATGAAACTTGTTCTGAGATAGCAGATATTAAAAAGAAATCAAATAGCATCATCACACACTCATTGTTTTCCTAAGTCGGGAAGAAGAATGATACATTTACATTCTGCTGATGCAGAAAAGGAATCTGTTGGCATAAAGGATGTCCTAAACAGATGTGACAGCTGTCCCTTCCTCTAAAGTGGAGCACAAATGCTACCACAGTGGGTGGGGGTGGGGGAATTCTGAATATCTGAGAGTAGTTTACTATTCCCATGGTCTCCAAATGCTGTCCCAGTCAAGAGACAACATGCTTTCCTCTGTGTCTGCAGCAAAAAAAAAAAAAAAAAAAAAAAAATCTAAAAACAAGTTCATCATTTTTATATCCTATGAATTTAATATATGCTCAACACAATAAACGGGGGGTACAAAATAGGAGAAATGATGGCTTAAAAAATAGTCAAATCTCTGTCACCTCTAAAAAAGCTTTGCCAATACTTCCCATGTGTGTCTATTATAAAATGGGAGGACCCTTAGCCAGGCGGTGGTGGTACACGCCTTTAATGCTACCACTCAGGAGGCAGAGGCAGTGGATCTCTGTGAGTTCGAGGTCAGCCTGGTCTACCTAGTGAGTTCCAGGACATGCTCAAAGCTACAGAGAAACCCTGTCTCAGAAGACAAAAAAAAAGGGGGGGGGGGACTCATTATAAATTATAAAACTGCAGAGGACCAGAGTTCATTTTCCAGTGCCCACATCAGGTGGCTACCGAGTGCATGTGATTAATTCCAGGTTTTTTTTCTGGCCTCTTCCAGCCCCTGTAGGTACCTGGACACACACTGACACATATTCATACATATACACATAATTAAAAGCAAGTCTTAAGAAAATCCCACTTTAAAAATTATATGATCTACCTCCATATCCGAGGATAAAAAAAAAATTATATGATCAAGTATGTGTGTGTGCCCATGTGTGCAAGCTAGAGGCCAATGCCTGTATCTTCTTCAACTGTCTCTTGACTTATTTTTGAGACAGTGTTACTCACTGAACCCTGATCTCAATCCAGTTGCCTTAGCAATCAATCTACCTGTTTCACACCCCAGTTCTGGAATTACAGTTGTGTTGCAGTACCTGGCTTTTTTACATGGGTACTGAAAATTTGAACTCAGGCCCTCAAGCTTTTGTAGCAAGAATTTACCAACTGAGCCACCTCTCCAGGCCCCAAGGCCTTTTGTTTGTTTTTGTTTTGTATTTTGAGGCAGAGTCTCTCACCTAGGCCCTGGCTGTTCTGGAACTCACTATGTAGACCAGACTAGCCTCCAAATCGCAAAGATCCACCTGCCTCTGCCTCCCAAATGCTGGGATTGAAGATGGTACCCCCAATTAAAAAAAAATACCAAACACTACAAGAGGATAAAAAGTACAGTCTTTCTTAATTCTTTTACTCCTCAAAGTTCCCTTGTCCCTTTCTACAATGCAACAGTATAATAAGTAACTACAGGCACACAAACTACATAAAAGGCATGTGAACTAATACACAATCCACTAACACAACAGACTGACAAGTCTTATGCTGCTGAATAATGTAGCATACAGTAACATGTAACAGTATGTATGAACTAAATTAAAATGTAACAAAGATATATAGTGCAATATAAGTTCCTTTCCCCCACTTACTTTTATGGAGGGGAGGGTTGAGAAGGGACTCCCTTTAGCTAAGGCTGGCCTTCAACTCTAGAACTCTCTGCTTCAGCCTCTTGTGTATTGGATCATGAGACATGAAACTACCCTTTCTTTTACTTGTGTGCTTGGCAGTCTGCCTTTCCCTTCATCACCAGTTTGGAAGTGTTCTGCTTCAGCATATATTGCTACCCCTCATTCTCAGTAGCAAACAGAACCAAAATGCCACAGATACCTAAGACTGTTTAGTTTCTTCCTGCTAAAATTTCGTCAACTATGTTTTTGGCTAACTTGGAGAGTGAATCTGTTGGAAAAAATTCTAACAGAGTAATTTTAATGGTCACAAGCTTTATGTAATTGTTTTTGGTTTTGGATAGATATTGAGAACTTCCCAATTAAAATCCTCTAATTTAAACTCCTGCCAATGTGTTTTTGTAAACGCTGCCAACACTGGATAAAATCAAACTCAATATTTATTGCTGTCTCTTTGTATGCTCAAATATCAACTTTGCCCACTTTTAGAAGGTTGTTACTAGTTTTGTTTGTTTGTTTATTGAGATTGGGTCCCAGGTAGCCAAGGCTGGCCATGAACTCCCAATCTTTTTGCCTACACCTCTTCAGTGATGGGATTACTGGCATGTACCATCATGTATGGCAAGTAGAACTGATCATTTCCTTCCATTAATCTGTAAGAGCTCTGAGTATATGCAGAAGAGCTTGGGGTTGGTGGCCAAGAGCTCTTGCTACTCTTTTTAAAAAGACCGGGGTTTGGTTCTCATCACCCATATGAGGCAGCTCATCACTGTCTTAACTCCAGTTCTAGGGGATCTGGTGCCCATTTCTGGCCTTCACAGGCACTGCATGCACATGGCGCACATAGATTCATATAGGCACACACACACACACACACACAAATGAAAGAATATATATGCACATGCACTCTCCCGTACCAATTCACATACAGATACACAGACACATAGTTAAAAATCAATAAATAAAAGTTCACCCATTATTTTATGCAGTATAAATATATTTTTCTCTCTTTGTTGATATCTTTAAAACTTTACTGTTATTGGTTTTTTAAATTTTGTTTTAAATATTGGATGGTTATATTGATATACTTTTTCAGATATTATTATAAAGAATTTTTTAACTTCAAAAATATTTAAAAATATGTATCAAAGTTCTCTTTTGATATATAATGAATTAATTACTACCTGCTGGGATTACAGACATAGTCACTATGCCTGGCTCCATATGATTTTTTCTACATGTAAAGAAAGGTAATAAAGGCAAAGTTTTGTTTTCATTCCTTTCCCTAAACATTATTTTCTTTTAATATAATCCATTCCTTTACCTAATTTGAATTCACCTGAACAGTACCACATTCCCATATCAGTTTATTTCCACACTTTCATAGTATATGAGGCTGAAGGGATGCATGCTATCAATTACACTATACATAACCTCTTTCTTTCTTTCTTCCTTTCTTTTTTGAGAATGGGTCTCATGCAGCTCAGGCTGGCCTCAAACTCATTATGGAGCTGAGGATAACCTTGAATTCCTGATTTTTTACCTCTCCAGTGCTGGGAGTAAAACTGATGTCAACATACTTGAGTAAGTGGTGCTAGGGATGGAATCTGGAATACTCTGCCAGTGAATGTATGGAACTTTAAATCCTGTGGTTTTCACTCTTATCTTGCCGTATTGTTTGCTCAGGCTGTTGTGAATTTTACTGAATTATAGTTTCCATGACTAAGAAGAGTTATGGTTAGAGATGGCCCATATCCCTGTATCCAGTTTTCATGGTAAGAAGTGAGGGGTTTAGAGTGCTGTATTTTCCTGCACAATCAAGCATTGCCCATGCTTTTTTGTATGCTTATTTTTGATAAATCATCTCATACTGTAGCTCAACCATACTTGAAATTCATGCTATAGCCCAGGTTAGCCTCTAACTTGTGGGTGAATCTCCTATCTCTACCTCTACACTGCTGGTTATAAGCATGTACCACCATACTGGCCATTTTCCTTCTTTAAAAATTATTTTAATTATTATTCTGAAGTATGTTGCCCATGTGGAGGTCAGAGGACAACTTTCTGGACTTGGTTCTCTTTCCACTTTTTTTGGGGGGGAAGGGGAGACGGGGTCTCTGGCCTAAAACTCATTATGTAGACCAGGCTGGCCTCAAATTCACATAAATCTGCCTACATCTATCTCCTGAAAGCTGAGATTAAAGGCATGTGCCACCATGCCTGATCCTATTTTCCTTATATTTGTTCATTTTTACTTGTTTTTATTTAGATCAGGGTCTAACTATGTAGCCATCACTGATCTGGAACTGGTCTTAGACCAAGCTGGCCCCAAACTCAGAGGTCTGAGATCTGAATGCCTCTGCTCCCCAGGTTCTGGGACTAAAGGCATGCACCACCACACTTAGCTTTTCCTTCTTTATAAATGGAGCCAATGAAGTCAACATCACAGTATCCCTGAAGCTTCTGAGACATGGGAGGTGTCCTAGTTAGATTTAATTGTCAACTTGACACAGCCTAGAGTCATCTGAGAGAAAAACCTTGATTGTGAAATTGCCTAGATCAGATAGGCTGGTAGGCATTTTAGAGGTATGGAGTGTCTTAATCATTAATTAACGAAAGAGGGACCAGTCTGCTAAGGGTGGTACCATCCTTGGGCAGGTACTTCTGGAATGTGTAAGAAAGAAGTATTCCTCTATTGTTTCTGCTCCCTGTTCCTGCCCTGACTTCAAACAATGATGAATTGTGACCTAAAAGAAGAAACACATTCCTCTTCAAGTTGCTTTTGGTCATATTTTATCATAGTAACAGAAATGTAACCAGAATAAGTTTTTTTTGTTTTTCTTTCTTTTCTTTTCTTTCTTTCCTTCCTTCCTTCCCTCTCTTCCCTCCCTTCCTTCCTTTCTTTCTTTCTTTCTTTCTTTCTTTCTTTCATATTGGTGTTGGAGACTGAGCAAGGGCATCATGCAGTTAAGCATGAGCTTTATGAAGGAGCCTCAGCTTAGCTTTGATACCTGACATCTTTTTCTTTTGGTTTTCCAAGACAAGGTTTCTCTATATTAATAGGCCTGGCTGTCCTGGAACTTAGTAGACCAGGCTGCCTTGAACTTGCAGAGATCTGCCTGCCTATCTTGAGAGTCAAGCCCTAGGATTAAAGGCGTGCACCACCACTACCCAGGACATCTTTTATTTTTGCTTTATTTTGTTTTTGTAGACAAGGTCTTGCTATGTAGCCCCATGACATGTAGGTGTGTATGTCTTTCATGTCTTTAATTCTAGCACTCGCAGGCAGGCAGACTTCTGGGAGTTCGAGGCCATTCTGGTCTACCTATTGAGTTCCAGGCTAGCCAAGGTTACATAGTAGGACTTTGTCTCAAAACAAAAAGGAACACATGATTCTCGTACCTGAGACTCATGAATATTGGAATCATGTGTGTGCCACTGTACCTGGCTCCTGTGATCTTTTTGAGGTCACCCCATAGAACTCTGGTGAATTAACCATGAAATCAATGTTCAAAAGTAGAATAAAACACCATGCTGGGGCTGGGGATATGGCTAAATGGGTCAGTTGTTTGCCACACAAGTTTGAGGACCTGACCAATTGGTCTCCAGATTCAGTGAGAGACCTGTCTCAAAGAAAAAAGTGGAGAGTAAAGGAGGAAGACACCACACCTGACACTGACCTTTGGCCTCCACAATCACTCACACCTCACACCCCTAGTGAGTAAACCTAGCCACTTACTTGAAACGATAAATCTAATTAGTGCCTCCTGTTAAAATGTATGTGCATTTCCTCATGCTAGCGCTAAAATTTAACATCTTAATTTAACTAAAGAGTTTTTAAAAATCTGACTAACACAGTTGGAACTAACAAGCTCAAGAGTTCCCACAGCTTTTACAAAAAAAAAAATATCTGATTTTCATTAAATTGTTCCATTAGTGGAAAACTACTCATTTATGGAGAAAGTCTGGAATAAAATACGTCATTCGAAAGCTATAACTGTCATTAGTCAGGTGCAGCATGGGTGGGTACATTTTACTGATCCGGGCCGAGGGTCCCTCATCCAAAACGCGTGGACCACAACTGTGACAGACTTTTATTTAGAGATTTTAAAATTCTGGAATATTTATATAGATGGCACTGGGTGAAAGTGTCAAGTCTAGAGTGCTCTAAAAAGCCTGAACTTTTTGTTTCTTCTGGTGCTGGGATGGAAACCACAATCCTGCACATGCTAGGCATGGATTCTGAGTGATCTCAGTCCTGGGCATACTTAACTTTTTCAGTATTTACATGTCAAGAATATTTCAAAATTTTTGGATTAGAGATCTCAATTCCTTGCTTTATGAGGTACTGGTACAACAGAAAGAAGCAAAACAAAACAAAACAAAAGCTATTTTTTTACGTGACACATAAATATCAGATTCAATGACGGTAGATGGAGTTCAGGCTTTTTGCAGAGGGCACATGTTGGCAGAACCTGTCCTCTGTTGCCTCAGTTCAAGTACAGCTGTCATTTGTCAACTTGTGTTCAACTTATACAAGCCTTGTTCTCACTCTGCAGGTCTGAGAAACACTTGTGTTCCTGCTGCTGTCGTCATGGCCACCAGGAGAAAAGTGACACATTGCACTCAAGGGATTTTACAATGAAGAAGCAAGGATCGCTGTCATTTCTTCAACAAAACTTTCCAGCAGTGTTGAGGATGGAATCCAAGGCCTCACTCACAGTGGGGACTACAGGCAGGTGCTCTACCACTGAGTGACATCTAAGCCTTTCAAACAAAACTTTGCTTAGGAGCTTTGAGACTTTAGTCAACAACCTGGGCTGATTTCACATGTGCATTTTTCAAACTGTCATGTGACGTCAGGGTTAAAGGTGAAGTGTTTATTGGTGCTGTAGTGGTGATGGGAGCTGTGAGGCTGCACTCACCTCTCCTTTTCTGCAAAATCATTTTGCAACTTCTGTTCCTTCTCCAGAGCAATGGTCTCGGCCTGGCTCTTCAGAGTCTGCTCGTATTCTCGGATTTTCTCCTTAAGTGCTTTTATCGTAACCTCTGCAGAATGAAAGACCGAAAAACCAACGGTAAGGGAAGCGGTTCCTTATAGCTGGGTGAACCAGGCTTTTGTAACCTGCCGGGATCACTGTATTTTAAACTTGAGCTTGTCCACGTTGACACAAAATCAATGGTTATGAGTCCCTTTGGGGACCTTTTACTCCCTCAATGTGAAATTGAACTTGTAGTATTCAAGTTGGAGAGGATCAATGGGTTTTGCCAGGAAGGACTGTGGTGGTCCCTCCAGCACACTTAGAAAAGGGGGAAATCGATGATAAAACATATATTGTCTTACTGATGCATCCTTAAGTTGGTCCTCTCTACAGAGGGCAGACTAATAAAGTTTTGGTGTAGGTTTAAAGACTTTACTACAGAGGAAAGGGTGCAAACATTTGGAAGTAGAGTCAGACATAGCCCTCATCAGGCACCAAGGCAGCTTTGCTATTGTTTCTCATGAAATGGAAAATGCCAGGCACTGTGGCTGAATGCCATTTACTGTACTGGGGAAGGGAGAAACCACCATAGAATTTGGGTGTTGCCGTCTACTTGAGTTCATTTACACTCTCAGCATCTGGTACAGTATTTGAGGTAATAAATGGAAAAGCAGAAACTGACAGACCAGATAGGGCTTGTAGCCCTAGCTCTCTATAGTGCCACCTGTCAGGCATTATATATTTCGTGTGTTCCCATGAACACTCTCTGAAAACAAATTAGGAATGGAATGATGTTAGCATTTTGGGGGAGGCTGAGGTATTACTAGTTGAAGACTACTCTGAACTTCATAGTAAGTTTGAGGATAGACTTAAATGCAAGATGAGTTTGGAAGTCAGCATGGGCTACATGGTGAGTTTGAAGGCAGTCTGAGCTACAGAATGAATTTGAGGTTTAGCCAAGGCTGTTTACAGTGAATCTGATATCAGACTGGGCTATACACTGAGTTTGAGGCCAGCCTGAGATACATGGTAACTTTGAGGTTAAGCTGGGCTAGGTAAAATCATTGTCTCTAAGGTAGCAAAAAAGGCATGCCACTGGAGCTAAGAGTAAAAAGAACTAGATTTTCTCTAGGTATGTGTAACAAAGCAGGTGTGCACATAATCATCTGTCACCCAGGCACTGGGCATTTCAAAAGAAACAAATTTTACTGGCAACTGCTGCAGAAGGTTGCTGGGGGAGAGAAAAGTCTTGAAGAATCCCAGCTTTGCATGCCTAACAACTCCCTTCCACGCAGGACAATGCTGTCCCTTGTGGTCTCAAAGGTATCATATTCTCAGTAGAACCAGACTCAACTGGGATCTGATCCCCACATTTTCTGCATCCCACCATGAATTCAAGTTCCAGGCAGTGTGTGATCAAGGGTCCCTAAGAGAAGCCAGGGGCCAGCTGTCCTCACTCTCCAGGCCTGTCTGTCCTTGGAGCTCTTCCTACATCATTCCAGCCTCTTTATGGATCTTCCCACAGAGAGTGCCCCATCCCAAGTCTGTCTCCAACATTCTCTAAGGGAAAAAGAATGCTCTTCACAATCCTTGAGCTTTAGATTAGTTTTCTAAAGCTCACTAAATATCAGGGATGCAGAGGAGCCAGGCAGGTTGATGCCCCTCCCTTCCACCGAGGTCTTCATCTGTATCTCTAAAACAAAACCATGAAGACACATAGACACAAAAGAAACTTAGGAGTTGCTTTATAAATCTTGTGACTGCTGTTGAATAGCTTTTTTTTTTCTTCAACACAAGGAAGCCAGGAGTTTCTGGGGCATTTTGTATTGTTTGTTTTTATTTTTTATCAATGGAGAATTGAACTTAGGGCCTTGATGATGCAAGGCTGGTTAAACACCGAACCATACCCCCAATCCCTCACTGGAAGATTTACAACTATTAGCTATATACCCTCAGCTCTCTTTTTGCTTTTACTAAATTGCTCAGAGCAGCCTTAAACTCAACCTATAGCTTAGGCAGACTCTGAACTTTGGATCCTCTGACCTTGGCCTCCAGAGTAGCTGGATTTGCAGCTTACACCAGGCTAGGACATGGTTCTAGGATTTTGAACACACTTGGCTTTTAGGTTATAGAACAAATTTCTTTATGTTTGTTTGTTCCCTGTCAAGAAAAAGCATTTGTCTCTCCTGCCTTGTAATGTAAGGTAGTCCTGTCAAGAGCCTGTTTTCCCCCCTTTCTTTTCCAGGAGATCCATAATGAATGGATGAGGTTGACATGGGAAGAATGGTGTGTAAGCACACAACTTGCAAGGATGCGTCTTGTCTGGAGTCTTAATGGATCAGTAGCAGTTACTAAATGACTTACTGTGTATGACCCTTTGATCAGGAGTTGGCTGTCTGACAGGTGTCGCCCAGAGGCGACACATCAGTCTTTGAAAAGACAGATCCTATCACAAGATGATACAGGAGAAATTTTCAAAGAATCCTGATCCGGCCCAGACCAAGAGCAATAAAAAAATCCAATGTAGTTACTGCGGGAGGAAAAGTTTAGCTGTGGCATAGTTAGGCAGTGTCATTATCTTTGTTTAAGAGATTCGGCTGCTTGCCCCACCCTGGCTTCATAAGGAGGGTAACAATTACAGCCAGTCCCAACAGTATGAAGAAGGCAATTAAGGGGGGAAGGGGAAGAAAGCAAAGCCAGGCAGGATTTGCCACTGACCTTGATGTTTCACTTCGGCAAACTCCTTGTTGTATTCTTCTAGTGTTTCTCTAAGTTTCTGGTTCTCCGTTTCAATGTCATGTAGACGCTGCACTTTTATTTCCAGCTGTTGCCCGAGGTCCAGGGCTGGTACAGGATCTACACAATGGGAGAACACAGATCAGCATACTGCACCCAGATCCTCATCCAGGAAACACTACCACCAAGCTATGTTCTCAGGCCCTCACTGGTGGATTCTAGGCAAGTCCTCTTATGCTGACATACCCTTAGTTCTTTACTGGGGGGCAGCTAAGTAGGTGCTGTGCTTCTGAGCCAAACCAGTCCCTTACTGGCAATTCTAGGCCAGTATCCAAAAGTCACCTCCTGGAGACACTCTTGGGGCCTCAATTCTCCTTTCTCCTAGGTAGTTTAATAAAGAAGGAACTCAATACAAGATCCTTAATATGAAAAAATGTGGTGACGACAGGACTCATTGGTATTTGCCAACTCTTGTGCGGTTCTCTAAAAATTTTCATCCATTGGTCAGTGAAAAGAGAGGCGTGGGTGTACTGAGTAGGAGGAAGGGGCTCCAGGGATGTCTATCTTACTGCAGAGCCTTCTCTGGATGATACTACTCCATGGAACGGTGTCTCTGTTTAAATGTGTCTAGGAAGTTCATGGACTTGGAACTAAAGGCCATATAACACTTGTACAAACAGGACATTCTCTTGCAAGAGTCTCACAATGACATGGTATAGAAAAGTAGCACTAAAAATCAGTACAGAGGAAAGGCTGGCCCGAGTTCACCTGATTGGCTGGTAGGCCCAGAGAAAGCTGACCTAAGCTGGTTGACTCCAGGTGATCACTATTCTATACATGGAAACTCTTGGGTCTCTGTAAGGACATGACCCTTTATTTTCTTTTACTTTTTGAGACAGAGGTTTATATATACCATGCTGGCCTTGAACTTCAGATCCTCGATTTCATTTCTCAAATTCTAGCATTAGAGGCATGTAAAAACATGGTTATATCATGTGCTGCTGGATATCTAATCCAGTGCTTTGTGCATGTTGCAATTCGTGTGTGCTCTATCCCCTGAACTACATCTACAGCATGACATGGTCATTATTATTATTATTATTATTATTTTAAATTGTCATCCTCCTTTACTGATGATGGGTGTTAAGAACAGTCAGAGGTGTGCAGCTGATGGTTCTAAGACTGGAGACCCCTATAAAAGCACAACTGGAGGTGACCCAGCATTACCCCTGTGACAGGCACGCAGCCAGTCAGCTAGGAAGCCACCAATTCCCATTAGAATACAGAGAGCAGAAGAGCATCTGGGCCTGTCCTGTAATACCTTGTGAACAAAAGAACACACTGGGGCTGGGGAGATGGCTCAGTCTGTAAAGAGCTTGGTGTACAAGCATAAGGACCTGAGTCTGAGTCCCCAGCACCCACATAAAAAGTCAAGTGTGGCATTAGTGATCCTAATAGTGGGGTGGAGACAGATGGACCTCTCTAGCTCACTGCCAGCGAAGCTTGCAGAACTTCTGAACACCAGGTCAGCGGGAGACACCGGCTCCTGAGGAACAATACCTGAAGTTGACCTCTGGCTTCCACATGGATGTTCATTCACTCACACTTACACAAACTGGCCCCCCTGCCCCCAAAAGAATGATATCTGCCATGAGATTTACTCAGTATTAGATTATAGTCTACAGTTGGAAAAATCAGACATGCAATTTATAGGACTGGGTTTTGGCCTCTGGCTTTCCCACGAATTCTCAGCAGAAGACAGACAGACATTAAATGCTTTGGGTCAATTTGATCTTCATTTTCCTTCTGTCTAGGAGGCAATTACAACTCATCAGGGGAACACACCCTTTGGAATTCTGAGAGTAGAAGAATACCCAAGTCACAAGGCTTAGAAAGATTACTGAATCTATTTCTGGCAGGGGCGCCAGCCTCGCCTGGGGATGGTTATGGAGATTTAGTCTCATCTCAAGGAATGCTAAACACCACACATGGCAGATCAGTGAGGGTATATATTCAAGAGCTCACTTAATTTTCCAATGCCAGAGTCATTAATTTTTCAGACCACCCTTGGTTCCTGGAAGCAGGGCTGGCCCACCATGGCTCTGTGGATGCTGTTTCACCAGAGCCTGGCATTCTCTGAGATGTCTTTGTGTTCACAGAGTTTATCCACTTGTCATTAGGATGTGTGGAGCTAGAGTCTGCAGCCCCAGGGGAGCCCTGCACTGGGGCTTAATACCAACACTGTACATCATCTGAATCTGAGGCCTACTGGGCACTTATGTGGCCTATATACACAGTCCCTGCCTGTCTCCCTTTCTCATTCATGATTTTTCATTATTATTTCAATCAGCATTAAAATATTTATGTTATGTTAGATTGCCAGAGCTATTTTGGGAACATAGTTCTTCTAAGCAGGAGTGGCAATAACAAGAAAAATGAAATTCCTAGGGCATCCCAGGTGTTTTTTTTTTTTTTTTTTTGATTGCAGTATCTTCCCAGGAAACCTGGATTCCTCTTTGGCCTCTATGTCTTCAGGCTGGGAAAATGGCTTGAGAGAAATGAGTGATATGCCCACAGCCTCCTTTATATAGAAGGACAATTTGAACTTGATCCATGTCAGGGATGGAGAGGGGAAGGTGTTGTACTTGGAGAAAACTCTATGGATGTTCACTGATGTTGCCTTTTCTAGCACAACTGATAGTACCAATTTGACTTTTCAAGAACTAAGGTCGCATTTTAGACATGTGTGTATGTGGACATGTGGACAAGGTGTTAATGATGGGTATCTTCCTCAATCTTTCTCTTTTGTTGAGACAGTGTCTTTCATTTGACCTGGGTCAATTTGGTCTTCCTTCCTTCCTTCCTTCCTTCCTTCCCCTTCCTCCCTCCCTCCTTCCATCCTTCCTTCCTTTGTAGGCTAGGTTGGCTGGCCAGCAAGTTCCAGAAACCCACCAGTTTCCACCTCCCCAGCTCTGGGGAGTACAAACTCACAGGAGCTTTTTCATGGGTACTGGGGATGGAACTTGGATTCTCATGTTTGTCAAGCACTTTACTGTACTGACTGAGCTATCTCCTTGGGCTCCTCTGGGCCATTCCTATTTAAAGGCCAGGATCCAGTGTGTCTGTCTCTGAAGAAAAAATAGCTTTCATCTTGCCATTCAGCAGGAATCCAGTAACATATGCAGAGAACACACATGTTATGAAGCAAATCGTAACCAACAAAGACTTTAGACAAATTCTCAACATGCCCCGCTGTAAATGGAAGTTCTGGCACTCTTGTAATTATTCATCATGGCATCTATATTTAATTTAACAATATTAAAGTTAATGTAAAAGTAGCAAAACTGGCTACAGAATGGAAAAGGAACTCAACGTTCAAATAGTGTGATGCATTAGACTCCCAACTTTACGATGGTACACAGAATGACTAAAGGCCCACAGCATTGAAATATTGTTTTGGGATATGTAAAAGCCATTGGTAAAGTACCTCTTAGGCTTAATTTTTATTATGTGTATTAAAGGAATGGCTAATTACCACATGATGGTATAATAGCCCTAGCATGTTTGAGCTGGAGACTGAAACAATGAACTTCAGCAAGCCAAACCCCAACCTGCATGTTAAGCTGGGGAAATCATAGCTTTCTGTCTCGTTAAAGATTTCCAATGCCATTTAAACTCCATACAAGCATTGTTAGGTCTCAGGCTGTACGTCAGAAGCCTCTGATTTCAGCAGTTCAATTACGGAATTGTCTGAGGGAGGAGAAAGAACACACCCATAGACAGAAGAATAACATGCAAAGTTCTGTAAGCCACCTGCCTAGCCTCCATCCCAACATGCTTTACCACTATCCCCATCCACCCACCATGACAAACTCAAAAAACATTTTATGATTATCTGATAAGTTAATTCCTGAAGCATGCTCAGATGTAGTGTGCAGTTCGTTATGCAACGCAGGACTTAAACAGCATAATTATATAACAAACAACCCTATCACCTGGATTTATTCAGCACATTTTGCTAAGCGCAGTAACATTATCTCATTAATTCTAGTCATCCCTGCAGAAGCTGGGGGAGGGCAAGCTGTGATGTGTCAGGCGCTGGCATCTCCCCCAGAGACAGGGATGGGAAGGGAAGCTGGCTAGGCCAACAGGTATGCAAAATGCTAATTAAGAATGCTATTTCCTGAGCCAGCAGCCACCTCAATTATACTGTCTCTTCATGTACTAATTTAACAAGGGTTTCCTAAGTGGCTACATGATTTGGGAAAGGCCAGGGATGGGCACTGCAAGGGACACTGAGCCAAGTCAGCAAGAACCAGCCTCTCTGGAGAGGTAGCCCAGGTACATCAAATATCAAGAAAACAAAACAAAAAACCCAGTCAAGCTCACAGATGAGTGGAAGATGGGCTCCATATAAATGGAAAAGAGAAGCTTTGTTTAGTAAGAGGAGACAAAGATACTTGAGTAGTTGTCTTAATAGAGACACAAGAGGAATGAGGAGATCAGTGCTAGGCATGACTAGAACCATCTACCACCATCAAATTAATAGATAATGTTAATGATAAAGATACTAGGGTGGTTCTGGGTGCTGAAGGGACACATGATAAACAAGATTAACACCTAGCTCTCAAAGGCTTGCCAAAAGGATTAGAGGTATACATCCCAAAATACAGTAACCAAAAACTGACAGGACATGAGAAAAAAGAAAAAAAAATCCACAATCATGGGCACAAATTTCAAATCTCCATTCACATTTATTAATAACAGGTATAATTTCTTCCCATGGTGCTGGGGAAGGAACGCAGAGCCTTGAGAATGCAAGGCTAGGGCTCTACAGCTGAGACATGCCCACAACTCTTTATGGCTGGGACTCTATGCAGATGCTCTTCCACTGAGAAACCCAGCAAACAGTCAGTATGGATGCAAAAGCCTGAAGAACACAGACTACCAAGCACTCTGGTAGCCCCACACAGCTGCATAACAAGTGTTCCTTTCATATGTACGAGGAACATCCATCAATAACAAGCAGAGCTGCAAACAAGTCTTGATAAATTCAAAATAACAAATATCATCCAAAGTATATACTCTGGCCACAATGGAGTAAAAACATAACCTGGACC